CCTAAACTGTCGTTTGAACCTAGAAAATTGCAGATAAGCATTAGCTAGCAGGTTTGATCTGTTCATGATTTGCCTTAACTTCAACTGTCGTTGGCTAAGGACAAATCGCTCACCAATGTTTATTCTAGCAACCTATTACACTTTTGATGAACAGATTAACCTAAAATCGCAGATTGAGTGATCAATTCAACCTAAGCATTAAGTCTAACAATGGTGAAGACAATAGATATCAAGCCCTATTTGCATCTAATCCTCTAACTCATGAAATCCTTTGAACGCTTCAATCTAGCTAAGAGATCTACTCAGACATGGAGAAAAGAAACACAGAAACAGATGGAAAGGAATTCATGAATTAAAATCGCAGAAGAGATAATAGGGTTCAGAATTCTTCTCAAAGTGTAGCAGATTTCTTCTCCCAAAAGCTTACAAGTAAAAACTCTATGGTTCAGGAAATTGTAAAAAAAAAAGCGTAGAAAGTCTGTAGAAAAACGTGATTATAAAACACAGGCGGCTGTGGGCTTTTTATTCTCTTTCTCCTCCCAAAATTAGGTAAAAGTCGATTTCCTTATTTTTCTCCCGTCTGGAGCAGGTGCTCTACGAAGGGTCCAAACCGGGAGCAGGTGCTCCGGGGCAAAAACGTGTGAAATAGCTCCTTATTGCTCAAATTCATCTCTTTTTGCTCCAATGCCTCCTAAAAACTCCAATCCTTTGATAAGGCCTCTAAGTCACCTGAAACTTCCTGAAAAGACTCCAAAAACTCCTAAAACAATTAGTAAACACAAGTTAGAATGAGTCAAAATCTCCACTCATCACCTGCTGAGCACGTTGTCTCAGGGAATCTTGTGTGTGGATGCCCAGTGATGGAGAGTTGTGATGTCCTGCCAAAATGATTGTCACTCATGCGGGATTGGGATGCTGAAACATTTCACATCTTGCACTGATCACTGACAGGATTGGCCAAAATCATCTCTGAGTACGGACCGAGCTATGAGAGTTTCTTCACTATACCAATCTGAATGTATGGTTGTTGGAAGTGTGTGAATGCTCCTCAGCTGAGGGAAGGCAGCACGATGGACAGGCAAAGGTCATAACAACACGGCTTAACAACACACTCTGAGGACCCCAAAATGAATTGTGAAAAGAAACAGGATAACGTAATCTCCTGAAAGAAATGTGTGAATGCTCCTCAGATGAGGGAATGCAGCACAAAAAGAATACAGGGGACTCAGAGTGGAGTGTGTTACTCCTGTGTATCCATCAAAGTATAGTGTCTCATGGTCTGGCGGAGAAGTAGACACTTGGTCCGAACTCTCGGGTGATTTAAGTTAAGGATGTCTGAGTCTTCCCACGGGTTGAAGCACGAAGAATGCCTGTGAATAACTAATGATGTGAAAGCACTTCGGCTGAAGGATTGGCTGCATCATTGTGCTTTCAGGTAGACTTCTCTTCACATCTGATTCTACATTGGTATTCATCTCGATCTCTCTGTACATAGGTGAAATGTCTTGTCCGTTGTTCGTCCGTAGTGCCTAGATTTGCGTGCTCGATTGTGTCATGGGTCCCTTAATGGGATTCTCCTTGTGTTGCCTGTGTGTGCTTTGCCCGTGTGTTAAATTGCTTTGTGTGTGTGATGAAGCTCATAATTGTGTGAGAAATCTATGATTCTTTTTGGGCCTAAAGCCCATTTGGTGTGGGGCTAATGTGTGTGTCTAGCTGTGCTTCTAGTTTTCCGCTGGTTTATTAGGGTCTGCTGACGTTTGGTGTGCCACAAAACCCTAATTGTGTGCGACGCATCGGAGAACTTCTGTTCACCTCGCCGATTTCATTCTGCACGACGATGCCGCGAACCACCAGACTTCAATCCTCCAAGCTCATGGCCTCTGCCATTGAAGCCTCTCGTCGCGAACCTCCGGACTCGGAGACACTTGCCTCTGCTCTTCGACGCCTCTCTACAAAGAAGAAAACTGGTCATCGTTCCTGAAAGGAACAAGTGGTCATCTCCGATGAAGAAAATAGCAGCGATGGGGAGAGTCAAAACACCGGTGGCTCCTCACACCCTCCGGCGTACTTTGAAGACCCGCGAGATCTGTTCTCCAATCTATTCGCGGAATCCAGTGATGAGGAGATGCTCGGCGGCTCCGATGATGACCGAGCAAGAGTGTGCGCGCTGTATGAGGATCAGGAGACCCGGTACCGCGCAAATCGAGCCGCTACTGTCACTCATGAGCGCATGCATCCTGAGCTGACTCGTCCTCTGCGGTATTCGCGAGACAACTTTACGTCTGCTGCGGCTCGGGGAAGGTATGATTCTCTGCGTCTTCGCTCCTTCCATGACCAGAAGTTCCTCCTACTCGACGATCCCAAGCTGGATGAGGTTCGAGGCATTTTGGACAAAGTGGACTTGACTTACACGGTGCTGGATGTGGACCCGTACTGTCCAACTGTGATTCACGAGTTCTATTCGAATGTGCCGGATTTGGAATACCGCCTTGGGACTAATCTGATCTATATCCGAGGGCAGATGTACGAGTTCACACCTGACATCATCAATCGCATGTTCCTGATCAAAGAAGATCTGCCGTCTGGTGAATGGGATAAGATGAACATCGATGAGGCGGTTCGTGTTGTGTCCGGAGGCCGAAAGAATCGTTGGGAGGGTTTTGGTTCCAAACATCTTCAACCTACGTATGGAGTCCTGTACAAGCTTTGCTGTCGTAATTGGATGCCCACGACGAATTACACCACCATGGTGAAAGACCGAGTCAAGTTTGTGGCTTCTCTCATCCAAGGCCGACGGTTCAATCTTGGTCTTCTGGTGTATGAACAGATCCTTGCCATTGCACGTACGCCTGAGCAAGTCAATCTCAAGCTGATGTTTCCAAATCTGATCTTTCAGATGTTGAAATTTCAGAAGATGATCCCAGGTCATCGTGGTGATCAGCCGCTCCAAGGGTTTCCTCTGAAGATCACACTGGACAAGAAAGCTGGAAAAGGTTCAGATGGTGACGAATCTGAAGCTCTCCCTACTCTGGCAGCGGATTTGGATCAGCTTGCACGCTGGGTTAAGCGCATTCAACTGCGTCTCAAAGGTAAGTCGTCTGACCTGGTACATGTTCTTTTCGAATGTTTTTGTTCTAAATGTGCACTCAAGCAGGGGGAGAATATGGCTCACGAGACAATGCTGCAAAGGACAAAGAGTCAGACACTGAGGGGGAGCAGCAGGGAGATGAGACAGAGAGTAAGGAGAGTGATTGAGTGTAGGGATGAGTGAATCTGTTTAACTCTAGCACGTGTTAAGCATCTCTCGTGTTACTTGTTTTGTTTTGAACTGTTTTGAACAATGTCCTTGTTGCTTTGTTTCTTTTGGGATGTCAGTTGCTTTGAACAATATCTTACTCGTGTTTGGAATGACATGTGCCTATGTTGGTTTTGCTGGCTAGTCTCTTGTGTCCTTTTTGTGTTTCTATGGCTGTGTTGATGCAGGAGGCTTGACGTGACACATTCAGACAAAAAGGGGAAGAATGAAAGATCAGGATTCTGGAGGTTGTGTGACACATCAAGGCGAGATGTGTAACACAACAGGAAGACGCGGGAAAGAGGAAGAACATGAATAACCACGTGGCAGCAGCTGAGTGGAGGTGAAGAAAAAGATTACGTGAGGAGCAAACCAAATCACAAGGAAGAAGATACGGAGGATCGTTGAAGATCTCAACAAAAGGAAAGAGTATATTCGCCAACTCAGGAGATGAAGGGGATATATATATGTGAAGGAAACCTAGAAGACGGTTGGCCGTTCACAGATTGTATTGAGAGCTTACAAGAAACTAAGAGAGAAATGTTAGGGTTCTTGGTGAGCGAACTAGGCTAGTGTGACACAACTGTTGTTGTGTGGGACTTGGGTAGATTAGGAATTGGTCAGTGTCGAATTGCAGTGTGTAAGGTCGTGTAATTCTGATTAGACAAGTCTTGAAGAGATTGTCTAAGTGATTTCTAATAAAAGAGCAAAAGGTTTTTGCATTCCCAAGTATGTGTTACATACGTCTCTGTTTCACTGGTTTTACAATAACGAAAAAAAATTCTTGCAAATGGGTCTTCTTAAATAATCGCACACTTGCTGAATACATTGACTTGGTTCTTTTATTGTATCGTTCTTTGCTTGTCATAATCGTTCCACATTAATAATGGGAGAATTTTATGCACTACATTGCAAGAAAAATGAGAGTAATTAACAAAATGACAATTTGTCCAAGGAAGCAAAATGAGTTAGAATACAATTTGGACAGTATTTTATTTGGTATACATCAATATTTGGACAGTATTTTATTTGGTATACATCAATATTCTAACGAGACTCATTGTCACTGTGGATAGATTCCATTCTATACTTTTATCCGCACCCTTTTTTCATTTGTTATTAACAATCTCACCAACACTCATTACTTAAAATAAAAACTGATCTATTGTCATTGTTCAAACTAACTCAACTCTTAATATAACATCAATTTGATGAGGATGTGTGACTTTAAGACGACTACATCAAGACTCTGAAGAATTAATGAGAATATCTGATTTTTTTAGAAGACTAGGTCAGTATTGATTTTAAGACGACTAAGTCAAATAATGTAAAGAATATTCTTATTTATCAATCCAGAATAAACTTACTTAATGTTCATATATAAAATAAAATCATAATCATATGAAAGCTATTATAATTGTTCTATTTTAAATTTAAAGAGAGAGAGATGTTTCACAGACCCTCACAGTTGTTGCACTCTTTTATATATAACACTTTCAGTTTAGAAAACTTGGAAAAAAGGAGGTAGCTAGGTCCACCAATCCCATACAACAACTAATCTGAAGCTGTCTCAAGTTTTTAGTAAAAAAGACAACTCAAATTCACAACCAATTTCTGCTTAGATCCACATTTGAAAAGGCTTGTCCAATTATGCCCCAAGATTGGGGAATTCAAGTTTCTGCACATATTATATATCTTGTTGAGCTGAGATAACAGGATTGATATGTTATTCATTCTTCCGCTTTAATGCGGTTTTGTAGAACATTATTTTAAAAGAAACAAGAGAAATATAGAAACAAATAAAACAAAGAGAGAAAATCAATTGTCACAAGATGAGCAAAACATGAGTGCATACTTGACATAACACTAAAGAGATTAACAAAACCACTAAATCAAAAGTGGAAAGAAGTAAAAAACATGTCCTAAAGAAGGCAACCAGGACCAAGTCATGATGAAAATTCACTCTGTAAGACATTCATAAATCGTTTTTCTTTTCTTCTTCAGGATAAAGCTTATTTTACCATGCATATGACTAAATTTATCCTTTTTGGTGGAGACATATGTGGTAATCTTTTCGATCGTCGCAGCTCTTTCATCAGTCCTCCTCTTTCTAACAAAAGAAAAAAAAAAGGAATCTTATAAGATTAGATTAAGAAAGAAAAAAGCGTTAAAATTTTCACTGTAAGACATCATAATTCATAAATCCTTTTTTTTTTTCTCTTTTCATGTGGTTAAGGCTTAAGAATCCCTTACGCATCCATCATGAGATTCATGAATTTGAAGAATTCATCACAGTTGAGCTGACCATCGCCATTAACATCAGCTACCCGAATGATCTTACGAACTTGCTTATCGGTAATTTCCTTCCCATCTTTTGTCAACGCGTATTTAAGCTCTGGTGCAGTTATGTAACCATTCTGGTCTACATCGCATTCCCTAAAGCCTTCCTTCATCATTTCCGCTTTCACTTGGTCCGTGTAAAGCTCTTCACTAGTCATCCTAAGAAAAAAAAAAAAAAAACAGAATGTTATTAGACTATAGAAATTCCACTATTGAATCATTGATTAAGAGAGACAAAAGCATTCTAAATCATATGATAAGATTTCACTGTAACACATCATTAATCGTTTTTTTTTTTTTTGACTTTTAAGAATCCTCACCTAAGAGTCATGAGTTCGACAAATTCATCACAGTTGAGCTGACCATCGCCATCAACATCAGCTACTCGGATGATACTACGAGCTTTCTTATCGGTAGATTCCTCACCATCTTTTATCAACACATATCGTCGAAGCTCTGCTACAGTTATGAAACCATTCTTGTCTACATCGTACTTCCTAAATTCGTCCTTAATAGCTTCCACTCTCAGTTTGTACAAGACATCTGTGCAAAGCTTTTGGACCATCGCAGCTTCATCAGGCCTGGAAAAAAACAAAATCTTAAACGAAAGATAAAAAGGATTCTTGCAGGTTCATTGAGCACAAAAACAAACCAGTTACAAGAGTGTTCTCCAGCTATGGTCGTTACACATTTCAAAGCTTCGACCCATCTCTGCTTCACTTCCTCTGTTTGGTTTTCGCAGGTTTTCTCGAAAGCGCTCCCGAAGTCACCGCTCTGTGTGCGTACATGGAACGGATCAACGTCGTAGAAAATAGGCATCACAATCTGTTCCTTATCTTTTCTGCACTTCAAGATTTCCACCAGTTCGTCCAAACACCAGATGGAAGAAGCGTAGTTCTTCGAGAGCAAAACCATCAAGACCCTCGATTCTCTAATCGCTTTCACGAGTTCATGTTTGATCGTATTGCATCTCTCCATCTTATCATCCTTGTACATTTTGATTTCCTTCCTTAAAAAGTGATCGTGTAAATGACTGAGGAGTCCTTTACGAACATCTGGCCCGTTGAAGCTTGGAAAGACATCGTATCTCTTAATATAAGCACAAGGAGAAGCAGGAGAAGAAGAAGCCATGAGAGAGATAGAGCAAAAGAGAGTTTGAAGAAAGTATAGCAGTGGTTTGAGGAAACAAGCTTTCTTAGTTCATCTATATAAGCCAAACGGGTAAAGAGGAGAGGAAAATTCAAAGGAATTTTCGTATGAGAACTGTACTGGAAACTACTGGCTTGTTTCAAAAGTTTGTTTTCTTTTGTTTTTATAGCCGCCGAGGAGAGGACCACTGGCTTTGACTAGAGACTGAGAGAGAGAGAGAGAGAGAGAGTAAACAGAGAGGTTGAAGAAAGTATCTATCACAGTGGCTTTGGATAAGATATCTATGGAGCCTGGAGGAAGAAACAAATCCCTTCTTTATACATCTGAAAGCAAAATGCTTAAAGACCAAAGACATTTGACCACTGGCTTGTTTTTATTTTGTAAACCGGAATATGAATTTGTAAATTGAGCTCAGAGATAAAAATATCAGAATCCGACAGGAGATAAATTAGAAGAAGACTAACTAGGTAGATTCAAAATGAGGGTTCTAAACCCCCCCCCCCCCCCCCCCACCACCACCACCGTGAAAAGATTCAAATTATGATTCTAAACCCCCTTCCAATTGTAAATTTGGTTTGATAACTAAACCGACTTTTAATTCGTTTGAAAATGACATAATACTTGCTGCTTCCACTACTCAAAAGTCTGTACTCCGCAACTCAAGTATCATGTTATTTTCCTCGCAGCTGAATGCAAATTGAATCTTGCTCGACTGCTCGTAGTCCCATCCTCTTCATCGCATGATTCTCTTTTGTGTTTATTCAAACAATATATCTACATTTTTTTTTTAGATTACCGAGAGGTTCTGGGCCCGAAGCCCGTATTCCCCAAGCTTCAAACAATATTTGTTTAGCTAATCAGAAGAATGTCTTCTGATCCTAATATGTGAACTTAATATGAATTGGTTAATATACGATTTAGGAGGACATTCTTAAATTTGTAAAAATGATTCCTAAAAAGTAAGAAGGCTTTCGGAAACTCTAAATTTAGGAAGCATCTATAAATATTGGAAAAGGTTCATACAAATTTAGCAATGTCTTATTTCATAATCAAGAAACAAGAAAATGACCACCTAAATTTTGAAGAATGTTTTTTTCAAGGGTTTCTCAAGGAGTTTTCTTAAGATGTTTTTAAACCCTCGAAATTTCAAAAGATTTACAAAGCATTTCTAGTGCTCTAAGAAGCTTTTCAACGTTTTAGAAAGCTTTTATAAATTTTTAGGAATGCTTTTCTAAATGTTAAGAAATTCTTATTACGAATTTTATGAAGGGTTTATATATGTTTCCTAAGAGTTTCAAACCCTCTAGAAACACTAATAGGTTTGCAGAGCATTTCTAATGATTTAGGAAGCCATTTTAAACTTTTCGGAACGCTTTCCTAAATGATAAAAAGTCTAACTAAAAGGATTTATGAAAGTTTTTTTCAAAAATTTATGAATTATATATGAATATTTCTTAAGAGTTTAGAGAAACCATTAATATTAAAAAGGTTTACAAAGTTTTTCCTAATGTTTTAGGAAGCGCTTCCGTCTGTCAAAGTATTAAAACCTAGCGACAAGATGTTCTTCCTGCTCCAGTTAGTTTATATGGCTAGTAGCTGCAATGAACTCACTGTAATCAATTGTCCTACTGTTTTCCACATCAGCCTGGCCAATACAAGAGCTCGTCACTGAAAGCACACAATAATTAACTTTCATTTTGTAGCCAAATGAGATTAGATTTTACCGCTTCCATGAGATAATGGATCTCTGTGTCTTTCAAGGTTGATCCATATTTCCTCAGCCTAGTTTTGAGTTCATCAAACTTAATAGCGCCGCTGTTATCAATATCCATTGCCTGAAACAATTATCTTAAACCAGCAATCTCTTCTTCCGAGAGGCTCTCAGCTATAAAACCTGATGACCCCAAAAAAGAAAAAAAAAAAACACAAATAGTTTCAAGAGAAGTGATGCATAGACCATAGAAGATACACGGGTTTGTGAATGGTTGCTAAATGATTAGGAAATTCCACTCAATGTAGGTTTACAAGCTTTACTAATGTTTAATAAAATATATCTGACATTTTTAAAAGAGTTAGGATGTCTTTCTGAACTTTTAGGGAAATCTTCATAAATGTTTATAAAGATTTCCTAAAATTTTAACCATATAAAGGTCATTCCATCAAAAATAACGCCTCAGCTGGTTTCTTGGCACAATCTCTCTAGATCAAGATTTAATCATTCGTGCCACCTTTTTTTTCTTTTCTTAGAGAATGAAATATCTACAAGAAGAGCTACTGTCAATCAAAAGTTCATGAGAAGAGCTGCATATCATAAGTTCTATGGTTAATTTTTGTTTGTTTCCTGCTACTGTCGACCACAACTTCTAAATCATGATCAAGATCAAACATAGAAGACTAATGCAAGAACCCATCAAAGACAAAACCATAACAGTTTGAATCTAAATCATGTAAAATTTCAGAACCTAAGTGATCTTTCAAACCAAAACTCTACATTCTTCAATTCATATTCAGAATTTATCACAGATTAATCCAACAAGGAGTTAGATTCTTTACTTTTCGTGTGTTCATAGCCTAAGCGATCATTCAAACCAAATTTAACATTACAAAATTTGGAACTGAATTTTTCAACTTACGAGGGTACTATCAAGAGTGGCAACAAGGATGAATTTCCCATTAGGAGAGAATTTGGCGAAGGAAACATCATGAGATTTATTATCAATCGGAGTCTTGAAGCAAGTTCTTTCTTTGGCATCCCAGATTTTGCAAGAACCATCATTGCTTCCCAAAACAATCCAATATAAATCATATTTATAATTCATAGAACTAAAAATATATATAAAAACCGAGTTAAAAATATTTTGGTAGCTAAAATCACTAATTTTAAATCATAAATATAAACCAAAATATATTTTTATACAAAATGAAAAACATAAAAAATAAATTAAAAATTATTACATACATTTATTATAGATTAAATTTAGAAAACTATTTATAAAATATTTCATGATAAATAAAATACTGTTGAAATACTATTTATAAAATAAAATACAAATTTTAATAAATATTTATAATATAAAGTAATATGAACGGACAAGTTAAAATTATAATTTTATAATCATAGTTTTTTGAGATTAATATGAATGGACATGGTAAAATTATATTTTTAATAATCACAATTATCTTTGATATTATAAAAAAATTTACAAAAAGCAAATTATATCTAAATTAAAAAATAAATATTTTTATTTATTAAAAGAATTTATCTATAAAAATAATTATATCTAAACTCAAAAAACGTAAATTATATTACGAAATTCGTTAAACAAAGAAAATTTCTTGTGCAAACGCACGGAATTAGAATTTAGTTTAGTTTTAAAACGAGATCTCGTTTTAAAATACAGTCTCTTGCTTCCTCTTGCGATAAAGATCAGGAATCTTTCTTCTTGTGATTTGTGAGAGACTAATCGAACGTTGACCTTTTTCTTTGACCAAATTTTTACCGGTTAAACTTGTGTCGTTTGAGTATTTTTCAACTACCCTAGACGTCTTGGCGGCCAATTTGTAGTACATTATATTGAAGAAAAAAAACAAGAGAAATATAGAAACAAATAAAACAAAGAGAGAAAATCAAGTGTCACAAGATGGGCAAAACATGAGTTCATACTTGACATAACATTAATTGAAGAGCTTAACAAAGCAACCAAATAGAAGGTGGAAATTAAAGAAGTAAAAACATGTCCTAAAGAAGACAGCCAGGTTCAAGTCATGATGAAAATTTACTTAGACATTCGTAAATCGTTATTCTTTTTTCTTCAAGATAAAGCTTTCACCATGAATTTGACGAATTTATTCACTTTGTTCAAGACATCTGTTGCAGTCTTTTCGACCCTCGCAGCTTCCTCATCAGCCCTCCTCCTTCTAACAAAAAAGAAAAAAAAAAAACAGAATCTTATAAGATTATAGAAACTCCACGACTGAATCATCGATTTTTAAAAAAAAAGACAAAGCCGTTTTACATTATAAACAAAGGCTTTATCTATAAAGGGTTAAGAATGTCTCACTCAGCCGTCATGACTTTGACGAATTCATCGTAGTTGAGATGACCATCGCCATCAACATCAGCTCTTCGGAAGAAATTACGAATTTCCTTATCGGTTAGTTTGCTCCCACTATTTTTCATCACATATTGAAACTCTGCTGCAGTTATGAAACCATTCTGGTCTACATCTAAACCCGTAAATAATTCCTTAATTTCTTTCTCTTCCTCCCTCGACAGTGTAACATCTGTGGCAAACTTTCGAACCATCGCAGCTTCTTCATCAGCCTCCCTACAAAAATTAAAAAGACACAAAAGCGTTCTAATTAAATCATGATGAAAATTCAATGTAAGACACACTTTTTCCTTCTTCTTTTTTCCTTCAGGTTAATTAAGGTTTTTTTTTTTTTAAAAAAAAGATTTAATTAAGAATGCCTCACTTAGCTATGGTAAATTTGGCAAATTCATCATAGTTGATCTGACCATCGCCATCAACGTCAGCTTTTCGGATTATCTCATCAACTTCTTCATCGGTTACTTTCCCCCCATCTTTTGTCATCACATATCGAAGCTCTGCTTCAGTTATGAAACCATTCTTGTCTACATCGTATTTCCTAAATTCTTCCTTCATATCTTCCACTCTCAGTTTGTTCAAGATATCTGTAGAAAGCTTTTCGCTCGCAGCATCTTCATCAGCCATCCTAACAAACGAAAAAAAAAAAAACTTATTTTTATTAGATTGCAATAAGATTTCACTGTAAGACACTTTTTGTTTTCTTGGCTTTTAAGAAACCCTCACACAAGAGTCCTGAATTTGGCAAATTCATCATAGTTGATCTGACCATCGCCATCAACATCAGCTACTCGAATGATATCACGAACTTGCTCATCAGTAAATTCACCCCCATCTTTTGTCAACACATATCGAAGCTCTGCTGCAGTTATGAAACCATTCTGGTCCACATCGCATTCCCTAAACTCTTTCTTAATCTCTTCCAATCTCAGTTTGTTCGAGACGTCTGTGGAAAGCTTTTCCACCATAGCAGCTTCATCAGTCCTGAAAAAAAAAAACAAAATCTTAAACGAAAGATAATTAAAAAAGGATTTCTGCAGGTTCATTGAGCTCAAAAACAAACCAGTTACGAGAGTGTTCTCCAGCTATGGTTGCTACACATGTCAAAGCTTCGACCCATCTCTGTTTCACTTCCTCTGTTTCACCTTCACAGGTTTTCTCAAAAGCGATCCCGAAGTCTCCGCTCTGTTTGCGTACACTGGACGGATCAACATCGTAGAAAATGGGCATCACAATCTGCCCCTGAGCTTCTCTGCACTTCAAGATTTCCACCAGTTCGTCCAAACACCAGCTCGAAGAAGCGTAGTTCTTGGAGAGCAAAACGATGGACAGTCTCGCTTCTCTAATGGCTTTCACGAGTTCAGATCCGATCGTATGGCCTCTCTCGATCTCCTGATCCTTGAAAATCGTGATCTCTTTCCTTGCAAAGAGATCGTGTAAATGACTGAGGAATCCTCTACGAACATCTGGGCCGTGGAAGCTCGGAAATACATGGAGACTCTTAACCTCAGACGAAAAATGAGAAGAAGAAGAAGAAGAAGAAGAAGAAGCCATGAGAGAAATCCAGCAAAAGAGAGCGTTTAAAGAAAGTATAGCAGTGGTTGAGGAAACAAGCTTCCTTGTGTATATATAGAAGCGAAATGCTTAAAGAGGAGAGTAAAATTCAGAGGAATTTGTATGAGAACTGTACTGGAAACTACTGGCTTGTTTGTTTCAAAGGTCTTTGTATGAAGTCGTTGGCGGCTCTTAAAAGTTTGTTTTTTTATAGCCGCCAAGGAGAGGACCACTGGCTTAGGCTAGAGAGTAAAATAAAGGTTGAAGAAAGAAACATGTCCCTTCTTTATGTTATATTGAAGCAAGAGTGAATTTATTGTATATCAATGGTTCATAAAAAAAATTAAGTTTATAGCATCGATAAATTGATAATTAGGTAACTAGCAAAAAGAATATATTGTTTTATCCAATTCTATCCTTCTTATTTTGTTTATTTATAAAATTGCCAATGATTTAATTTTTTTTTTTCTGATAGATTATATTGGAAATACTGTTCATCCACAAACGGGTAACATTGTCCATAAACGTCCGATGACACTATTCATTACCAGAAATCTTCTTGTTAACATGCTAACAATAATTAACATGATAACGTTTATTCTGTTAACGTCTAATATAAAATGTTAACATGCTAATATTAATATAATGTTATATAATTAGTTAACATGATAATAATTATAATAACATATTATATAAATATTAATGTGTTTAACACTAATATCTAGTATTTATAACATATTAACAATAATATCTGATACTTTTTGTATGTTAACATATACAAATCAGAATAGTATGTGTGCTAACTTAGTTATCATAACAAGATTTATTCAAAATTATATCGATAACTCGTTTGCTAATTGCTAATAATGTTATCGATAACATATCGTGACGTCAGTGGTGACGTCACCACCATCATTAAGACCATCGTTGCACTATAACTAACCTCCATCTCCATTTCTATCTTCAATTTCATCCATCTTCTTTGTTCTCTTCTTTCTTCTTTTCTTGTTCTATTTTTTTCTCTTATTCTTTGCATTTTTCTTTCATGGACAATGGTTGAAGAGATAAAAACTAAAGATGTAATTTGATTGAAAAAAGAAGGGTAAAATTGATTTTTGGCAATAAATAGTACGCGATGAATAGTGCTGAGGAAAGAGAACTAATTTTCAATTTATTGGTTACTAGTTTGTGCAATCTATTATATTAAAACAGAAGCATTTTTAGTATCTGCTTCCAAACACTCCCAAATTTTTTTTAAAAATATTTTATTTTATATTTATATTTATTTCCGAAAATTAGTTATATATTTAAATAGTTTTAGATTTCCTTAAATATATGTCATATTTGTTTAAATTTGAAATTATTCAAAATTTATAATTATTCAAATTTAATTTAAAATTCAAAAAATGAAAAAATTATAATTAAATTTTATTATAAAAATTTAGATAATAATTTTAATACTTTAGAATTACTTAAATACATGTTAGATTTAATTTAAATTTTAAATTTAAATGATATTCTCATAATAGCGCATAATAAACGAATATCTTATTGTATTTTATCATAATCAATCGGTCTAAAATATCAAATTTATAATATAATATAGCTGATTAGGGTTATATATTTATACTTATGGTCTATAAATTAGTTTATTAAAATATATAAGATATTAAGATGATTTGAGGCAATTAAACTAACAGGTTAGCCAATATATAGATATAATGGTAAATGAATATCTTATTATATTTTATCATAATCAATCAATCTAAACTATCAAAACTTCAATATTAATTAATATTTCTATTCTACAATAATATGATAGAGCAAATTAGGGTTATGCATTTATAATTAGAGTTCTATACTGGTTAGTTTGTCAAAACATGTAAAATATTAAAAAAATGATTTTAAGGCAACTAAACAGACAATTAGCAAATTCATAGATATATACATAGATTGTTTATATGTAAATCAAAATTTACATAATAATAAAATTTATAATTAACATTAGATCGATGTATACGTAATTAACTTATATATTTATTCTACTGATATACAATTCTATATTATTTAAAATTAAAACATGCTAAAAATTTTCTTGATTTAAAAAAAAATAAATAACAAAAACAAATTATATCTAAACAAAAAAAATAATTACAATTTATATTAGAATAAAAAACAAAAAATTCTCGTGCGGATGCACGGGGTTAGAATCTAGTTTCTCATGAAACAAAACACTGAAAGTTAAGAGACATTTTTTTTTGGCGTAAAAGAACAGAGACATTTCCAAAGACATTTGACCACTGGCTTGTTTTTATTTGTAAAAGCATTTCTATTAAGATACCTTAAGGATATCTCATAAATATAATATTTCATCCGTTCTTATCTAAATGGTGTTTTACAGATTTTTATATTCTGCATATCATTTTTTATATTAGTTGCATTATATTGAAAATGATAAAAATTAAAGTTTTAGTATAGAAAAAAAATAAATTAAAGATTTTCTTAATCTGTGTACAATGATAAAGTATCATTTTTTTTTTTGAGATCCCTATAATAAATTTTTTCCTTTATTGATAAAGTACCCACCAAAATATCTCATCTATATAATATTATTAATTTTTTACAGATTTTAATTTCAGTGTAATTAATATTGAAAATTTAAGTTAAATATTAGAGTGATTTACACTCAAAAATATATTTTTCTACTTATTCTTACAAAAAACACTTTTAATTATTATAATATTTTTTCTTTTCAAATTTAACATCAAAATAATTCACATGGTCATGTCCTATTATGGACAATGTAAAATGTATATCCAAGTCGAATATATTAATAAAAACATATCCACGCAATTATGTCCACATTGTGGACAATAAAATGTATATCCACGTCGAATATATCAATTAAAATTAATTCATGCCATCATGTCCCTGTTTTATGTCCATCATATATCATCCACATTTTATTTGTGAATGGATATCTAACTACACTTGTGATTTTTTTTTTTTTTGAATTTTATATAAATGATTTTCGAAAAATTTCTTGTTTGATAAATAAACTATAGTATAATAAGTCTTAAAATATGAGAAAATAAAATTATAATTCATTATAACAAAAAAAACTGTTTTTTATTTATCTTTCACAATATTAAAAAATACAAAAAAATAGATGAGAAAAAATTACTGTTTTAAAAATCTGGGTTTAATCTATGCTAGTTCGCACCCAACGTTACGTGAACACATGAGACAATTTTAGATTATTTTGGTATGAAATATTAAAAAAAAAAATATATCATAATAGCTAGAAGTGTATTTTATTGTAATATGTGTTTAAAAATGCATTTAAGTGTAATGTCTCTAAATATTATCTTAAAGTTAAAAATATTTTGTTTTTATTTTATAAAATATATTAAATTACATCTTAAATATATTTAATTATATTAATTCCATCTTAGATTACATCTTAATTTAGTATATTTATTTATATTAACTATAATAGTAAAATTAATACAATCGCAAATATTAATAATGACAAAATATTATGTTTTTAAATAACACAATTAAGCATAAAATTACACGAATTTAAAATTATAAAAAACACTTAAAATGTTAAAAAACATAGATAATATATAAAATTACATTTAAGATATATTAGTAACAAATTTTTGATAATTAATGCAACGTATATATAAAAAAGTCCAAACTATTAAATTAAAAGATCATATTTTATTAATCTTATTCAATGAATAATAGTGTAAATGAGAGGTTGATGAGAAAGTATATATCACCATCCATTGCCACTCTCAGTTATCTATTAGCTAGTTGCTTTGATTTTTGTTGCTAAATGCTAGTTGCTTTTCACTTTTAAAGCTTAGATCTAAATCTACTAATCACACTCTGACACATAGTCTTTGTGAACTCATTGGTCTATTTTTTTTTTTAATCTTGATACGAAACAGAACACGTACGTACCTTCTTCTTCTGTTTATGCACTGAGAGTATTCTGTTTTGGCGGCTCAACTCAACAACCTTTAATTGTCTTCTGCAGTTACCTAGGTGGTCACATACCTTTGTCTTTTGCAGTTAGGTAATCACGTATTTTTTCTGTGTGGGCTTTCTTCTCGTTTTCAACTGGGATATGTATGGGCTTTTGTTCTTCTTTTCGTCGATGATGAAGAAGCTCTCTCTATGGAGGACAAAACTGTTGTATCTCTAATCTAATATTGACAAGAGGATAATTAAATTGTATGCAACTGGTCCAAGAACATGGGACAGATTTGACCGTATGACGTCATTGTGTGGACATGAACTTGATTCACATAAGCGGATAAGCCTCCGACACTTAAGGTTCTGTGGCTCATGCAATCTACATTCAAGCTTAATACTCTTTCAAAGAGCCGAGTACCGTCCCCTGAACGTGTGGCTCCAAACTCAAATAACTCATTTCTCAAGAGCTAGGAATATAAGTATAGTAGGATCATGCGTACTTTTCTTTTTTTAAATCACATTTTTAATAGCACTTTATATTCTTTATACAATTTAATGATTTTCTTATAAAATATCCTTATTTTTCCAATTTCTTAAATATACTTGGGTACATAGATCAAGTGATATTCTTTACAAAAAGAAAAAAAGAAAAAAAAAACGAGATGATATATGTTATATCCCAATACAATCTCTCATATCTAAATAGGAAACACAAAAAAAGAGATAAAATCAATTGTCACTAGGAGGAGCAAAACATGAGTTCATACTTGACATAACACTAATTAAAGAGATTAACAAAGCAACCAAATCGAAGGTGGAAAGAAGTAAAAAAAACATGTCCTAAAGAAGACAACCAGGATCATATCATGATGAAAATTCACACTGTAAGACATTCATAAATCGTTTTTCTTTTCTTCTTCAGGAGAAGGCTTTTATCATGAATCTATATGGCGAATTTATCCAGTTTGTTCGATACATATGAGGCAATCTTTTCGACTCTCGCAGCTCTTTCATCAGTCATCCTCTTTCTAACAAAAGAAAAAAAAAACAGAATCTTATAGATTAGAT